ATTTCTTTTTAGGTGGGGACGTTGGACAGACAACATGTATAGCGACGGAATACACACAATGTATTTCTTTTGTCATTGTAGGTAATTGACATTTCGATCACAGTTCACGAGCAGTGCATGCTTTGGATTTAATTGATCCTGTGTAACTTTAAAACACGTTTATTTCATACAATGTACATTTTTCAGCAGCAGTTTGTAACACAGATTTGTATTTCAATCTAGGAGCGGACATTTTATTGTAGGATTTCACTGAGATTTACGGAACTAGCAAGCGATTTTTACGGCATTGCAATTCCTTTTCTCTAGGAAAATTCTTGAGAGATATCTGCACCACGTTGTTTTATGAAGATGTAATGCATGTATAACCTGCTGACTGCAAATTTTATGGGTCAATTGGACATGTAGTTTCCCAGAACATCTGATAACAAGCATGTGGATTTTTTTTTTTCAGAAGAGATGTAAATACAATATTACACACATGAGACGAAAACATGCATACAATGAATGAATGAATGAATGAATGAATGAATGATTGATTGATTGATTGATTGGTTGGTTGGTTGGTTGGTTGGTTGATTAATTGGTTGGTTGGTTGGTTGATTAAACACGTGGGATAGGGTCTCTTGAAACAAGCGGAAAAAAAAACAAAGGAAATCTTGGACCCCGTATTAAACACATGAGACGGAAACATGCACACAATGAATGATTGGTTGGTTGGTTGGTTGGTTGGTTGGTTTATTTATTGGTTAGTTGGTTGATTGATTGATTGATTGATTAATTAAACACGTGGGATAGGGTTTCTTGAAACAAGCGAAAAAGAAACAAAGGAGATCTTGGACCCCGTATTAAACACATAAGACGAAAACATGCATACAATGAATGATTGATTGGTTGGTTGGTTGGTTGGTTTGTTGGTTTATTGATTGATTGATTGATTGATTGGTTGGTTGGTTGGTTGGTTGGTTGGTTGGTTAATAAACTTAACATGTGGGATATGGTGGTCTCTTGAAACAAGCGAAAAAAAAAACAAATGAGATCTTGGACCCCATATTAAACACAGGAGACGGAAACATGTATGCATGCAATGATTGATTGAATGGTTGGTTGGTTGGTTGGTTGATTGATTGGTTAGTTAGTTGGTTGATTGATTGATTGGTTGGTTGGTTGGTTGGTTGGTTGATTGATTGATTGATTGATTGATCAATTAATTAGACACGTGGGATATGGTCTTATGGTCTCTTTAAACAATCGAAATAGAAACAAATAAGATCTTGGTCCCCATATTAAACACATGAGACAGAAACATGCATGCAATGAATGATTGATTGATTGATTGATTGATTGATTGGTTGGTTGGTTGGTTGGTTGGTTGGTTGGTTAACACAGAGAACGGATCCACTTTGATCATGCAAAGACGGAATAGAAAGCCTACATACTATATCTAAACACATGGGATTTATCTTTTGAGAGATCACTTAACAAGTAGTAAGGTTAAAGGTCAATGTCAACCTACAAAAGCACTAAACCACACATAAAACTCTTTAAATAGTGCCAAAAACACACAATTTGCCTTTTTTACATGACCTTGACCTTTGACCTTGACCTATATTTTCAAGTTATGGTCCAATGATCACAAATCAAAAGACCCTAGGTCTTTACAACTTACGGTTCATGAGATTTATATGCATATTGAAAAGTAAAATATTCAAGGGGAAATAACTCCTATAAGAAGTCACTGGATCGCTTCGGTTAAAATTATTTAAAGTTGCGACATGTGGCAAGGAACATTTTTAAAAAAATCATTTGCCGCTAACTCTTATAGTTTATGAAGAGTAGCGATAACAATGGTTTTTGTAATTGGGGAGATAACTCCTATAAGGTAAATAGTACACTTTGGTGCCCCTAATACAAGATAGCTTTTATTAACCCGATACTTGGTACTCAAGATCATTTTGATATGTTGCGTACTTTTCTTGACTTTTGACTTTGAAAACGGCGGAAGAAAAAGAATAATAATAATAATAATAATAAACAAACGAATAACAGTAAGGTCTTTCCATTAAGAAAGGAAAGACCTTAATAATAATAATAATAATAAACAAACGAAATACAGTAAGGTCTTTCCATTAAGAAAGGAAAGACCTTAATAATAAACAAACGAAATACAGTAAGGTCTTTCCATTAAGAAAGGAAAGACCTTAATTAAACAGTTAGTTGTCACGTTTGAATTGTATCTCATTTTCATGTCGGGTCCTTTTGTGGTTGACTATATGGTATTGAGTTTTCTCAGTAATATTGAAGGCCAAGCAGTGACTATATATGCTTATATCCACGTCATTTGAACTCTGCTGGGTTGTTGCCTCGTTAGCAATCATACCAATCTCCTTATTTTTATATAAAGGTTCACATGAGAAGTTATTGTTCTTGTGAAGCTGTCCTTTATTGCATGCTAATACATGATGGATATTATAATAGTTGGAGAAGTAGAATACACTTTTGAGTTATTGTTTTTTTTTTTACAAGTTACCAAGCAGTATGAATGAAGTTTTTCTACATTGCAATCTTAGTATTTGTATCAGTTGTTTTTCTTTACGTAGACGTAAATTGATGTGTGCTTTTTTTGTAAGGTAAGTGTATCAGATATCTGAAAGAAAATATAAAAAGGGACAGCACAGATTATAACAGGAATTTACAGAAATGAGAATAATGAAACAAAACTTAAGCAAATTGGATAAAAAAAATATAGAATAGAGACTAGTGGTATGCTATAATATGAATAAACTGCTTCGCTGAGCGCAGCTGGATACGCCTGCAGAGGTCCAACCCTGAACAGTTGGGGCAAAAATGGACACATCTCCATTCTCAATTTTACACTATTCAAGCTTGATACAGGTCTGAATTTGGATTGTATTAAATATTTGACATATTATAGGTTTCTAAATAAATGTAGTCAAAGAACTTGAAATTGGTTATATGAATTGAATTTATATTCAATTAAAGATTTCTTGCTGTTGTGCAATACACTGTGCTGTTGCGCAATACTTAGTAAATCTGTTGTCAGACTATAAACAAATAAAGTTCAATTAATTCTCAGTCATATTAGAAATTTATGAAAATGTAAAGGGAGCTTACATCAATAGATATAAACAATTCACCAAAAAAGGGGGGATTTTCCAGTTTTCGGACAATAACTCAAAAATGCTGTCCGAAAACTGGAAAATCCCCCCTTTTTTAATGAATAAAACCCCATAACTCAGAAATGTAAAATGTAAAATTTATAAAATTCTAAACGGAGCTTACATCAATAAATATAAACAATTCACCAAAGTTTCATACGAACTGCTGAAAGCATTTTTGATTTTTTTGTCTGAAAACTGGAAAATCCCCCTTTTTTTATGAATAAAACCCTGTAACTCGGAAACGTAAAATCTAAAATATATAAAAATCGAAAGGGAGCTCATGTCAGTAGATATAAACAATTCACCACAATTTCTTGCAAGTTGGTGAAAGCATTCTTTAGTTCTATTGTCCGAAAACTGGAAAATCCCCCTTTTTTTAATGAATAAAACCCCATAACACAGAAACGTAAATTCTAAAATTTATAAAAAACGAAAGGGAGCTCATGTTAATAGATATAAACAATTCACCAAAGTTTTATGCAAATTGGTTAAAGGGTTTTTGAGTTAATGTCCGACATGTTGACGACGGACAGACGGACAACGGTATACCATAATACGTCCCGTAAACGGGCGTATAAAAATAGAGAATATTGGTACTTTATAGTATAAGAGAGAATAACATGGTGTGCTATGATAGATTGATTGTGGGTTGCTTGATTATCGTCTTGTGGTAAATAGTGGTATGTTCAGGACGAAAAGAAATTAACAAAATATATAAATTATAGGCCGTTCGGGATACAGGTTGGAGAAATAATGACTCACTAGAAAATTAGGGTATATTGTATTGGGGCAGACATTTAGTTTTAAGTACAACGGTCCACCTACGGACCCCTCATTTAGCGCGCAGAGAGCGTGGTATCCTCCATAAACGAGCAGTGACGGATCCAGAACTAGAACTTGTTGAAAAAGGGGGGGGGGGGGGGGGGGGGGGCTACAGTTGTGCTTCAGTGATTCCCTATATAATCAACATTTTTTTCCCACGAAAAGGGGGACCGGGCTTCCCCATGAAAGGGGGGGGGGGGGGGGGCTGGATCCGCCTATGACGAGTGCTATAACATTAATACAGGGCCGTAACTAGGCCTCAGAATCAGACGAGGCAGGTGTTTAAGTGCCGCCAACTGAGGCACCCAGGTAATCATGCATAGCCAGAAATTAGTAGTACTTTTGCTAATTAATATTCATAATATGAAAATGAGAATTGTACCACGTGATAACAGTTTGAACTGGACTGGCTTGATATCATTAAAATCTTTAAAACACGGATATTATAAGTTGCCCGTCACAGAGTCCTTGTTTATAATCACTCTGATATTTCCGTAAAGTTGTCAGGCGGTCAAAATCAAAACAATGAACGCGAATTTAGTGAATTTTTCGTGTTTTCGTGAGTTTATTCTTCTTGAAATAGGGGCATTTTAACTTTACGTGGGAACCTAGAGTTCAACGACTACACATACAAGGGTTGGACTTGCTTATTCTTTGGACATTCAAGTTTCAAGTTTCATCCCCGCAACCTGTTTTTGTAATGACCTTGTTAGCCAATTTTCAACACGAAGTTTGCAAATTTGACGTTTCAGCCATTTTAGCCTGTATTTTATACTGCAATGTTATTGAATAAAACCTCTTTTAATGTAATGTCATGCATAAAATCAAAATCAAATGAAACATACTTTAATTCAAGCTTTTAAATTTAAGGTAAAACTCCATATGGAGGTGCTCCCAATTCAAGGAGGCTTATACTAAGAAGAAGCATTAACATTGGTTTCCTTCCCCCTTACTTATATTCCCCTGGTCAATGGCTGCCAGCATGTTCAAATACGTTCAATCAATAAATGACAATGGATATTTAATTCATTTTGCATGATCAATAAAACAATCATTCAATTTTTTGGGAATTAGTAAGTCTTGAATTTGATATATTTTACATCTGACATCGATTTTTCACTTGTCCAATCGGACAAGTAGTATGGGCGCTATTCGGTTCTGCTGTTAAAGAGGTAGTAAAAAGTTTATGTTTGTCACAGATGTCATTTCCCGAAAATTCAGTCTGTTCGAATATTGGTGAATTGATGATTGCAGTAGCTCAATAGAAAATTTACGTCAAACAATATAGGCAGCCTAATCAGCCGTGACAAAAACGAATTCCTTGGAAATCCATTACACAAATGTTTAAAATTATAAAATTGTATCGTCCGTATTTTGAATTAAACACGTTCAATGCATTTACATTGCTTTTAATGATATATTTTATATACGACTCAAATTTGTGAGATTTAAAAAGAAAATATATATTTGCTAAAATATTTCTATAAATTCATAATGGTTACTAGTGTTGAAAATTAATGTGCTCATTACAAGTCAAACAAGGCGACTATGTTTCGGTAGTTCGCAACTAGCAACTGCTTTGTTGATCCATTATAATGAAGTGAGGTGGGTTCATCAAGACCATTGCCTGCTGTCAACACTTCTTTATGTCGTTGTCCATCAGGGGAGATAACTACCACATTGTTCGAGCGGTTCCCCACTACGTACACATTTCCATCATGATCTACATCAATACCACGAGGAGTCATCAGAACGCTTTCATTTTGGAATGTCCATTGAGGTTTACCTTGTAGATTATAACATGTAACTGTGTTTTTTTTCCAATTTGAGTGATACACTTTGTCCTTAAATGTTGCAACGTAACAGTCCCTGGGTGTCGTGTTATCCCGAACTATTTCACTCGTTGACTCCTCGTCATACGGATTGATCATTCGTATTCCATAGTAACAAGAATAGATCAATCGGTTTTCTTTAAGTGATATCCCAGAGGTGAACGAATCCATTAGAATTGTCTTCTTGATTTGTCCCCTTCTTAGGTTCAAAATGGTAATACTAGGCGGTCTTGCACAACCAGTTGTAACAGCATATATATCATCCTGGCCGATGTTCACTAAATCAAATACTTTGCTTTGCATCTCCATCTCAAAGTATTGATATCCGTCAATGTCAATAACTCTTACTTTACATTCATCACTGGTTATAGCAATTTTACCGTCCGTCATCATGCAACATCCGCAGATTGAGTCTATTCGGATGTTTATTCTCGTGTGTATCGTCAACTTTATATTTTCAATTGATCTTGATTGAGTTGGTACCACAACTTGAGCTTGCATGGCCATCTAACTGATCAGAATAAAATCGGAAGGAATAGCCTCAGTATGTACTTCTCCAAAACTATTGACGTCGGCAATTCTAAATAGAAGTACTGATCTTATACGTTAGGAAATGGTGCTCCTCGTTGTTATCAAGTGACTGCATGACTTTATCTTTACTAGAGACTTCTTCTGCTATTAACTTGTTTGATTTAAAGAACTACCTGAATAATAGAAACCTAAATAAAAGGCTCATGTTCATTTTTAAATCACTACTAAAATAACAACACTTGTTCAGGAGCTTGTCTTGAAGATATTGATAAATTTGGTTTCAATTCGTTCGTTCCGTCGTTCTTGTTAAAGTTTGAATAAGTTTGCATTTAATTAAATTTAACAAATCCCAAGTTAGAAAAAGCATTTGGTCAACACTTGAAGTAGCATCTCTGTCAAGTTTTGCTCATTTACTTCCGTGGTTTTTCAAGATGAAGATAAAAATATGAAAATTAAGCTGTCGGCTGATGGGCGACGGTCGCCAAAAGATGACAAAATATCACATGTTAGCTAAAAATAGCATTTATATCATCAATCCACCAACCACATGATTAAGCATTAAACATATAATGCTTTTCCATTTACAGGATTGGATCAGGATTTAAAACTGATTCAATGCATTTGAAAACAACATTTTTAATGAAAGACAATCTTCTGGTCATGGTCAAACTTCAAATATACAGCCAGCTTTCAAATGGCACCAAATGACAGAATGTGAAAAAAATCATACGACAAAACAAACAGGCTGATCTGTGATAAAACAATAAAACGAAATACAAATATGGCAGGCAACTACTCAACTACAGGCTCCTGACTACAATAGACCCAGAATAATATGAACGAGTTGATATTTTTGAGAACGCTCAAGTCTCCTCTTACCGGAGACAATGGTGTAACGGCACAACCGAACAAACTGCAAAACTCTCGTTGAAGAGGCTCGACTTCAGATTGGCACGAAGCACAAAACAATTATTTTTAGAAAAAATATATTAGGTATCAATCTTAGAATTCATACAATAAATTTATTGGCTTTATTGATTACAGTATCTGAGAACATACCAAACCGTAACAACTAAAATATTATGCAAAAAACCATGAATGAAATTTCAAGGTCAGATGAAACCTTCCAAACGAACACGTACACCTCACAATCATTCCATGCAGAAAATGTTGCCGATGTTTTGATTATAATATCTGAGAAATATATCAAACTACAAAAGCTTAAAATTGACAACTGAACCATGGAATGAGGTCTAAGTGAGGCGAAACCTGTCTGACAGACATGTAGACCATGCACAGATCCCATATTTCTTCATCTTGTTACTCATAGTACAATAGTATGTCACATAAAAAAAAAGTTTTTTCAAGCTGTCACTGAATATGAAAATGAGTTCAAGAACAATGATCATATCCCCAGACGGAAATTTCGTAAAATAGGGAACTCTATACAAGGTAATATGCACTCATGTCTTTTGAAATATAAAGTTTTAAACAAATAGTGTGTAATCTCTTTGTCTGACATTCAGTTACTTCCTTTGCAGGCGAGACATAACGTTTTTTTTTTTATTTTGAGTAATTGTTAATCAAGTTTAAACATTTATTATCGCATTTTCTCCACCAAATATCTCCATAATACGTATATGTGTACAAGCTTTTCAAGTTTGCAAAATCTATAAACTTTTTCGAGATATTTGACTCTTCTGATTAAACATTTCTTGATTTGTAATATCGAAACTGAATTTAGATTTTCAATTGTTAACATTTCAGGGGCAGTTACTGATGCAATATTTACATGTCATCAGATAAAATCTTCAAAAGCAATTATTTACAGTGTTAAGAAAGAAATTTCTATTTTTACTCTGTTAAGAAAATTTGGGTACACAAAACATTTGTTCACTATGATAAGTATTTGTGATCTTGATAATATCTCTTCATTATTTGTCACGTTCGTTGAGGTGCTGTCTTATCTTATTGACGTATTGCCTGTTTCTCTTCTATTCATAACTCCAAGAGCTTTAATAATGCAAATGATAGATCATAAAGTGGTTCCAATACAAAACCTATATATTTGACAAATTATGACAATATGTTCGACTGATATTTGAAAGTTTTTTGCTGTTTTTGTTAATACAAAATATTGTTTTGTAAAATATTTCGTTATCTACCTACCTTAATTGTTAGTAAATCGTAAACTAATGTGAACTCTTCATCTAATTGAATAACTTTGCTATCAAAAGTAACTATGACAAGTATATCTGTATTCGCTATCAGTTGATACATACAATTACTAGACGGATTTCAAGCAAATGTTTACTATTATTTTATTTTAATGAAAGTATTAAATATTTTATGATATCTTTTAGTTACACTTGAAGTACCGCATAGTATTTGGTATACGTATTTTATTTCCCTTTGATTTGCGTTGACAGAACTGGACAATAGAATCACAACGCATAAAAAAACCTGTTAATTGACACATAGTAAGTAATTGTTAGTCAATAGAAAAGTAAAAAATATGAAATTTAGTGCTATGGTTCCAATCCCGAACATTAATTTCATAGTGTATACCTTCCCATTGATTAATTTACAACCGATACATAATCTTATCATTGTCAAAAAGAAACAATGAAAGAAAGAAAAAAGACTTGAGTATTCATTAATTTAACGAGCTTTGTGTTATGTATAATTTGCTGCCCCATTGAATCAAAGCTCTCTCATTTGTACAATTTGTGAAAGTGATTTACATAATCTTGTGCCTATCAATACAATCAACATGGATTGGGAACTTTACGGTTTATTTGTTATAATGTTCATTCAGACATAAAAAAAAACGATGATTGAAACAAATGATATAATTCCTATTTTGGGATTTGCAATTTTAACCTGAGAATTGTTTGACAATTTAAGTTATTTTTAGTAACATATCAAATTGAGATCTTGTCTTTGTCGTTTTAAGGGCGTTAATAGCTTGCTACACATTACACGTTTTGTTTATTGTCCAAGGCCGAATAGTTGATACACTTCGCATTAACAATCATACCATACCTTCGTATTTTATATGTCGGATCATTTTTGTTGTTTACAGTTTCCTTTATTTACTATAAACAGTTTTTGCCAAAATGCAAAACGGGTAAAAATCATAATTGTAGTACAAGAAATCATATAAGAAGTTATCTAAAAAAATTGTTTATAATAGATGTGATTGTAGATCTTGTTCTGATGATAATTTTTGCTTTATAAGGTTTATTTCTATCTACTATAGTTTTCCATATGGTAGGCAAATACGCAGGTTTTTTTTAATAAAAAACCGTAGTAACCATAAAATTGCTATAAACCATGACAAGCATGAACATTCAGTGTTGATAACTGCATCATATTGAAAGTAGATAAAATTAAATGTATCTATATTTTGTTGCGGATGTCAACTTTTAAATTTTTTACAAAAGCAAATAATTTCATATATTTGATATTCTTCCAGGCGGCACAAGATAACCAATAATGAACATACGGTGTATGTATGGTGAAAAATTGAACACAAAACATTACACAGAACGGGAGTCGGGGAGGAGAAAAAAGGGACTAGACAATACGCTGTGTCCACCCATCATATATAATGCATATGATAAACAATGTCTATTTCTTTCAATATGAATCCATTACGCCATTTGTTTTGAAATTATCACATTTTATCGGCCGTTTTTTGGAATAAACACGTTAAATGCATTTACAATAACTTTAAATTTTATAGAATATACGGCTAAAATTTATTTGAGAGGTAAGAAGATTGTATATGAATTTGTGAATAGAAACGGTGAATGTGACAACAATTCGACCAGAGAGCTATAGACAGCCGAAGGCCATCAATAGGTCTTCAACACAGCAAGAAGATCCCGTATCCGGAGGCGAGCTTCAGCTGGTTCCTTAAAAAAATGTATACTAGTTCGATGAAAACGAACATCAAACGAAACATAAATGAACCAAAATTAAAAAAAACCACATATAACATTAACAAAGGCTATAACTTCCAGACTTGGGACTGGCGCAAAAGAGCGACGTGGTTAAACATGTTGTGTAAGATCTCAACCCACCCCCATACCTCTAGCCAATGTGGAATTTAATGAAAAAAGAACCGCAGTACGCACAATAAAACTTAGTTTAAAAGAGATCTGAGTCCGATGTTATATAAGTTAACAGAAAAAACTTAGCAAAATGCAATGATGAAGATAAATTAACAAAGGACTACTAGCAGTTACTGACATGCCAGCTCCAAACCTCAATTAAACTGATTAAAAGATTATGTCTTCATCATATAATTATCAAGCACAATCCCTCTTGTTAGGGGTTTAGTATCATACCATCAAAAATATACATATATATATATGTCAATAACTGGATTTAGAATAAATGTGTATATTTCCGACGCAAAGAGCCTACGTGTGAATCAATATTAATTCCAAAATATGCCACCATCAATGACTTGACAACAGTGTTGTAACTATATATCTTCTGAATAAGTTTGTTTCAAGGATTGGTAAGCTTTTGAGATGAATGAAGTAATTTTTGTGCTTTGGATAGAATATTACCATTAAAGTTGGACGTGAAATACCTGATCGTATACAATGTAAGATGTATGCACGCTGATTTTTCTTTACGAATGCTGTCCTTGTACCGATGATGAATTTGGAAAATGTTTTTTACAAGTTTGAGATATCGTAAATCCTGGTGTACTAATTTTACAGTAATACAGAGATTTCTTTCGTTAATATCAAATACATTGTTACATACACGAGCGATTCGTACAAGTTGGGATATATAAACACCATAAGAAGATAAAAAAACGTCACAGCAGGATAAATCTCATTAGTGTACATACTGAAGTCGTCATCATTGAGAGTCAATTTATCATCCAAATATCTAAAAGTGTTAGAAAAATATTTTTTTTATCAGATGTTGTTTTGGTGGATCTTTGTTGTAACTCGTAACAATACAGAAAAAGGTCCGCAATAAGTGGTGCACAGTTAGTCCACATTGGAATTCCGATAACTTGAAGATATACGGAATCTCAATAGCGAACAAAACTGTTATCTAGTGAAAATCCATGTGACGTTATCGTATCAAAGCAGGCCGAATTGACATAATTATTTTGTCTAGTGTTACTAAAAATGACATTAAAGTGTTTGAAAATACATATTCGCACTCCGACTCTTTAAATGTCCATTTTAATAGGTATGTGATTTTTTTCTTAATGAGATATTTGAGGCAAAGTGGTAGATAGGGTTGAAAAATCAAAACTTTGCACAGGTTCAAAATCACCAATATGTGCATGCAATTTATCAAGTATACGTAGAGCTGAACTATTTCTTTAAATGAAATGACAATGTCTATTGAAAGATAAATGTTATCAATGAAAATCAAACGAAGCGACTATGTTTCGACAGTTCGCAAGTAGCAACTGATTTTTTTATCCATAATAATGAAGTGAGATGGTTCATCAAGACCATCGCCTGCTGTCAATACTTCCTTTTGTCGTCGACTATCAGGGGAGATTACTACAACGTTGTAAGAACGGTACCCTACCACATACACAATGCCATAATGATCGACATCAATGTCACGCGGAGTCTTCAGAACGCTTTCGTTCTTGAATGTCCACCGCAGTTTACCTTGTAGATCATAACATGTAACTGTGCTTTTTCCCCCATTTGAGTGATATACTTTGTCCCCAAATGTTACAACGTTATAGTCACTGGGCATCATCAATACTCGGACTATGTCACTTCTAGACTCATCATACGGATTGACCATTCGTATTCCACTGTTACAAGAATAGATTAATCTATTTTCTTTAAGTGATATTCCAGAAGTATACGAATCAAGTGAAATTGTTTTCTTGATTTGTTTCGTTTCCAGGTCCAAAATGGTAATGCAAGGCTGAATTGAACAACCGGATGTAACATCACACGTATTGTCCTCGCTAATGTTCACTATATCAAATACATTACACAACATTTCTAACTCACAATTTCGTCATTGTTAAATATTTTTACGTTACATTTTTTGACAGGTAAAAGCAATTTTCCAATTCGGCAGCGTGCAACATCCGCTGATTAAGTCTGATTGAGTGTTTATTCTTTTGTGTATCTTCAACTTTATATTTTAAATGGATCTTGATTAAGAGGCTGGTACCACCACTTGAGCTTGGTTGGCCGTGTTACTGTTCAGAACGATATTGCAAGATTTAGTCTCAGAATGTCTTTTTCCAAAACTTTTGTCGTCGGATATAATGCTCTAAATAGAAGTGTTGATCTTTTAGGTTAGGAAATGATGCTCCTTAACAGTTTAAAAGCGACTACAGGAACCTATCGTTGCTAGAGACGTCTTCTTCTACTTGTTTCATTGAATGAAATACCTGAACAATAAACACCTAAAATAAATCTCTGATTGTAGTCATGTTAAATATCAAATAAGTATCAAAACAAAAACATTTGTTTAGGAGCTCGTCTTGGGTGTATTACTAAATATGATTCAGGTGGTTCTGTCGTTCACTAAAAGTATTTTTTCACGAAATTAACAAATCACAAGTTAAAAAAGACAATTGCTGCCTTACTTGTTGAGGAATTGTCCAACAAATAAAAAGGATATTGAAAGTGGCAACTCTGTTTTATTTCATTTAGATTAAAATCTGAAAGTTTATCGAGAGGTCGATGAACGACCGATGCCAATACAAAATGACAAAATATCACAGGCGAGTTAAAAAAAAAAGCAGACTTATAATCAACCAACCAACTTCATCACCAAATAATCAAGCATCCACATAATCAACCATCATACTAAATACAAAATTGAACGATTTTAAAAATGTATTGCTATTCCATTTAAAGAATATAGGATTTAAATTTTATTCTTAATAAAAGACAATCTTCTGGAATGGTTAAACTTCAAATATACAATCAGCTTTAATGTCCTCTACACGACAGACAGTGAAACAATTCAAACGACAAAATAAACAGCTCGCCTCATGAAAAATCAATAAAAGAAATACAGTATAATAGGAAACCACTCAATTACAAGCTCCTGACTTGGAACAGACACACAATAATATAGTTGAGTTGATATTTTTGAGAGCGCTAAAAAGGCCTTAACTGGAGACAGGGGTGAATCGGCACCAAAAAACCCCTGTTAAAATCGGGTTAAAATAGCCTAACTTATCAGTGATCATTTGAGTGACAAGAAGCACAAAAAACAAAAGACAAAATACATAAAGAATCAATATAAAAGGACTTATCATTAACCTTAGTAGCTTTATTGCTTAAAGTGTCGGATAAACAGATCGTAACAACTTAACTCTTTCCAAAGAATCATGAAAGAAAGGTCAAGGTCAGATGAAAAATGCCCGACTGACACCTAACAATCATTCTATACAGAAATTTTGCTAATTTTTTTATTATAGTAGCTAAAAAATATTCCAAAGCACAAAAGCTTAACATTGATAACTGAACCATGGAATGAGGTCGAGGTCAGGTGAAACCTGTCAGACGGACATATAGAACATTCAAGGATCGCATATTCCTAAAATAGTTATCTTACATGTATAACCAATAGAAAGTGAGTATTTTACATAACGAAGAAATTCAACATTGTGTCAAACAGTCGCTGAACATAAATATGAGGTCAAAGACAATGGCCATATGGCAGACGGAAAATTCGTATCATAGTTATCTGCATAAAATTAAAGGTAATAAGCATTTAAGGGTTCTTTCTTTCAAAATATAAAACTTTAAACAAATAGTTTGTAAATAACTTTGTCTTCCGTTCAATAATGTTCGATGCAGGCGAGAAAAAACTTTTTTATGTCTGAAGAATTGTTCATCTAGCAAAAAAATCCGCAATATTAATTCTCAAATTTTCGCTTCCAAATATCTCCATAAGCGTATGTGTGTTCACTTTTTAAAGATCGTTATCATTAAATTGTCATTTCTAATGTGAAGCAAATTTTAAGTCGGTAATTTGTGTACAAGAGAGGAGCATAAATCCGGAGGGACATTTAAACTACTAAGTCGAAAATAAACTTACAACGTCATGGCTTAAAAAGAAAAAGACCAACAGACAAACAGACAAACAATCGTACACAAAACACAACATAGAAAACTTAAGATTGAGCAACATACAAAAAACATTTGTTCAGTATGTTAAGTTTTTATAATCAATTCAACAAAACATCATTAAATCTCAATTTATAATTTGTTTTGTTGAATTGCTGCCTCGTTGACACGTACCCTATATCCCTTTTTATTCATATTTCTGTTTGCTCTATCATATTGCAGTTGAAAGATCATAAAGAAGTACCAATTTAATCAGTTAACATTTTGGCAAAAAGTTTGACCGATACTTGAATGATTTTTGTCTTTGCTTTTTATGTTTGAAATCCCAAAAATTGTTTTGGAGAATTTACCGTATTCACCCTACCTTATTTGTCACTTAGTTGTGTTATGATGTGAGCTGGTTATCTAATCGAAAAACAGTCCTTTCATAAGTTTATACTGAAAAATCGTATGTTCATTCACTAAAATATTAACAAACACGATTACTAGACGGATTTTAAGGCACTTTAAACTATTGTATTAATGAAAGTAAACATTTTTTTATAATATCTGTTTGTTAGTTATACTTAACGATCCGCAAAACTGTTTCCTTTGATACGTATTTAATAACCACTTGATTTAGTGTTTACAGAATGAGACAATAGAATCACAACGCATTAAAATAGTAAGGTAGCTCGGGTGTCTTCCTCCATCTTGGATTTTGATAACGCAGATAACAATCGGTCTAGTTTTGTAATGAAATGTGCAAATTTCGAGCGTAGTATGTAATTCAAGTATTGTGAAACTGAAATGGTACCTGGTCTTCCTGTACATAGTTTAATATAATGTGCCAAATTGTGTCTCTCTTCTTTCCTTCATATAAACAGTCAGCCCATTTGCAATTGTATATTTCAGACATTTTACTGAAATAAAACAAAGACTTAAAAACCAAAGAAGATGATGTCCAGTCAGCTGAAAAGAAACTTAGGAAGGGAGAAGGGGGAAGCAAGAAACAATTACAGGAAAAAGATGACGTTATAAGGAAACTGGAGAGGAAACTCCGACATAAAGACAATGAAGTGGAAGTGCTGAGGAGAAAGCTGAGAGTTCAGGAATATGAAACAGATGACGAGAAAGAAAATGAGATGCCAAGGAAAAAGCTTAAAGGCTATGTTGTGAAAAAACTGTTTTAGACATTATGTTAATCTTTATTTTTATTGAAATGTCATATACATGCATTTGTTGTAGACGAAATTGGTTCACGTAATCTTTACATAAAATTAGAAAATGAATTTTTAAATGACAAGTATATAAATATGAAATGAAATTAGTTTTCATTTGGAGCTTTAATTATTTACCTGTTTTATTGATTCTTAATTTTTTTTATACCAATTTTGTCTTTACTTTATCAGATATTTTAGTGTTGTGAAGGAGGTGAAGTCCTCAAACACTTTTCGTTGTTATTGTGTATATATCATATATGTAGATTTAATGTGATGCTTAAAGGAGAAGAAGTTCTCAGCGTCAAACATATTTAATGATTTTTTTTTATTATTATTATGTTTAATAAGCATACTTTTCTAATTTTAGTTAATTGAATTATGGAATTTCGGGGACGAAATGTATTCTTCAAGGGTGGTAGTGTTGTGAAACTGAAATGGTATTTTGACATATCTCGATCTTTAATGATGATTTCGTATGGAATATCATTCCTTTCATATTATTTAAGTTTGCCCAATTTGTGTAATGGTATGACAGACCTGATAAAGCACATTTTAGTCTCGTTTCATTTATAAATCAACGTTTTCAGTAGAAATTTACTGTTTTGACACATTTTCCGCCAAACCGTAGTTCCATGTTTTGTGCAAGAGTTGTCGTCCTTATCACAACAAAGAAGTTATTCCTGAAATACGGGATTAATTCCGGGTGTGCTTATTGAAATATTGTTATTACGGAATAAAACTATTAATTGTATATAATTTATGGTCATGAATATTTGTCAGTGTAATGATCGCGTATACGAGATCCGTGAAATTTTAGTAATTACGGGAAATATTCCGTGATAATGACATCTTGGTTTCGAACGTAAACAACTTGGTAAGTTAAATTTTTACTGTCCCAGAGAACGGCTGCTTTTCGTTCTCCTAACCTATTTATTTCACGTTTGGCTTTGTGAATTTATGTAAGAAGTTAAGTTTAGCTATTTTAGCATTTAATTACACATCTTCAGGTATTAATTGTGTAAAAAGACTGTGAATTCCGTTACACATTGTACTTGACGGTGGTGTTTTTGCCGTGAAACATTTTTAGCCCAACCCTGGCCTGATTTTGGAATTGTTCGATTATTATTGAACATATATTTATTGATATTCGTTATTTTTGTCTAAACACTGACATTATGCAGGTTCTTTGACTTGATTTAAATTTTGTGAATTAGTTGTATCTGAAATTGAAATTAATATTCCTGCATAATAAATTATTTCATTTAGAACTATTTGTTAACTTGCAGCCTTTTCTACTATTCCGCTCGGTAGCTTACATTTTTACAATACATGTGTAAGACTTTTCATGTTAATATAGAAAACTATGTATTTTATCATATTTACGGCTGTATTTGACAAAAATCAATCTTTCTTTTGTTTTATTCATTTTTTTCTAATTTTGCCATTTAAGGGTAGATAACTCAGATATAAGGGGAGATAACTTGTTAAAGTAACATTTATATTAGAATGTGTTGTGAATTTACCTATTTTCTTATGTAGCAAGAAAACGAGTACCATAATCCAATTCTTTCTTTATCTTATCTGAAAGCATATCATTAGAGCTATATTCTCATATCTTCATGATCTTTTGTTAAAATTCTATGGTGTAGTTTTGCTTTTATCACCAACATTTGGGTTTTCCATGCATAATCTATATAAAATCTGACACTTTTGATCAACCCATAGCGTGAAAAAAAGCACGGTGACCCATTCTTTTTATTATATTTTTGAAAAAGCATGATATAAACTACATTTTGACAAATTATCAAAAAATTCTATGGATTTAAATTTAGACCCCCATCTTCCTTAAATGACACACAGTAAATAATTGACAGCTCACAATCTAGGGAGAGCTTGAGTGTCTGACCTGAGGTGAAAGGTTTAATCATCACTTTGAACATAACTTACTAATGTTAATAGAAAATGCACTGTTTCTAGGTAAAACGAACTTGAGTCTTTACAGATACTGTGTCTCGCACCTGCATCTTCCACTATTCCCACTGTTTTTGCAAAATCATCTTTAAGGGCATATGATACACAACGATACAGTTTCGATCCCGCTGTGAATTGTAGACGAAAAATTGCATGCAAACTATTTTTCACTCTAGCAGTTCAAATATGTAATAAAACAATATACCTGTCATGTGCCTCTTTAAGAGATAAATGGGGTCAAAATTTTAGATTTTTTTCTCAAAATGTCGGTTATTTTTTTACATTTCTATCCTTGGGATAGATATACCTAACTTGTTTGTTTCAAAAAATTAACTTCCTTATTAAAGTTCTTTCTATCTATTATAGTTTTCAAAATGTAGGCAAATGAAGATAAATGACATTCAAAGGCAATAAATCCTATAAGAAAACGTCTGACGATTTTGACATTGATAACAGGTAGATCTCAACATTCTTAACATTTCTGGCCCCGATCAGACTTTCTATTTCTATGGCGGTCTTTTAAGACTTGCAATCATTTCCTATATTTTCTTTATAGCCATCATTTCCTATATTTTATTTTTAGCCATGTTAGCCATGTTGGTTTGCATGTAGGGTCATCGGTATTACAAGATAATAAATGTATCATGAAGACTGTTTTTTGCAAGAAAATCTTAAACAATTTTTGTAATAGAATAAACAAAGCTTGTACGTCAAATTACATGAGGAGGCAGTGGCTGATCCAAAAATATTCATAAAAGGATGGAGACTGACTGCCTAAGAGTCGGCCTGCTCAAGACATGCTTCAGTGATTCCCTATATATTAATCAACCAAATTTCCCCCTTAAACTCCGCCTCTGAGAGGAGTGTCGATATGCTAAAATTAAAACTTGATATTAATAAAGGGTTCGATCATTGAATATATTGTTTTCTAACCAAGGATTTATGCTGAAATACTATATCAATTCTTGTTTTAGATTTTTGTTTTATCTAAATACACGATTTTTACAAACTTAATATTGACGATATTTTTTATCTCCCTTTTAAAACAAATCGTTTCTAATTACATTTCAATAAAAAGAACTAACTCTCGTTTTTAAAACAATACGGTAGCCTTTGACCATGATCTTGTTATTGAAGTACGGGAGGGATTTTATATTCAACATGTAAATGCCATTCAATCGCGTTTTAGGAGGAAAATCTACAAATCTTAGACGAGGCTTCATGAATGTATATATATATATATATATAGAAGTCTATAAAAAGGACCAACCAGCAAATTTACTATGTACCGGATCGTCTAGAATAGACGATACTGTGCAGATAAGGAAAAAAATTAAATATGTCTAGAGATTTGCACAACGATACTAATATAAGATGGTATTATACGAAGATGTTGTTAATAATCGTGTTGACAAATATTTCGGCTTAACAAATATTTCGGCTTAACAAATAGCCTTCTTCATTGTCAATTATTTTAACAATACTGATTATATGTATAAAAATAGCTCAATAATACAGGTAAGTTTTGGTCTATTGATTTAATCCAAAATCCTGAACATCATAATATAAAACAAAACTCAATACTCAAATATACGTGACTGTGTATATTTACATCCCAAAATGAGTGAAAAATAAAACTTTAGTATTTTTTATTGATGCCGTTTGGATGATGTACATTTAGTTCCTTTATCCAAAAGATTTCCCGAACCTGTCGCTGGGCATCACTCCAGTGAATGTTCTGTTCAATCACTAGGATCCTCATGCCGTTAAAGTCATCAAGTGTGTGACCAGACTGTCTGAAATGCTGAGAAACTGGGAGAAGTGGCTTCTTAGAGATATCACTCCTATGGCCAATGAGGCGTTTGTGGAAAGGCTGCTTTGACTCACCAACATATTGGAGGCCACAAACCGAACATTCTAGAATGTAAATAACATTCATACTTTTGAAGTTAACATTGCAAAATATCTTATAGTTATTTTCGGTTGCCTTACTGTGAAAAGTTGATGAGTGATGCATCTGTAGGCAGCATTTGCAGCGTTTTTCATCAAACGAACAACATTCTCCAGAAGTACTTCTATTATCAGACACTTCAGCCCGCACCAGCAGGTTACGCAGACTATTGGAAGTACTTCTGGAGAATGTCGTTCGTGTGCAAATCTCTAGACTTATATATATATATATATATAATTCGTCTAAATAACAGCCTAACATTGTTAGATTCGAACTCATGCTACTGAGACATCGTGGCACCAAATCGCCTGCACTATGCCGACGCCCTAGACCACTCGACCACCTAGGCTTCACAATAATAAAGCTTTCGGTGGCCGGGTATATA